TATGTTATGTTATGGTGACTAAATGATATATTTTCCTAATTGGATTTTTGCCTAACCCTCTGTTACCCAACCCCTTGAAGTACACATACCAGTTTAGCGCTTTCCCGTTTTGACTGGGATAGCCCTGGGTGGCCGGTTTGGCTTGAGATGTGTGTAAAATTTTGCCCTTAGACCAGGCCAAGCCCCAGCTATCCCACATTTTTGCGTAACAGTAGGCCCAATAAATATTTTGATAGGTAGTGACTATTAAAGCCTCCTTTGTAAAGGGTATAGTAAAGAAATTGGTTTTCACCCCTTTTTAAAAACTGCAAAGGGGGCCATGTAATGTATGGGAGGATTCCTCAGACTAATAGTGCTGGGCTAGAGGAAACTATAAATACTATCACTGTGTGTCTTACTCATGAAGTCGTGCCCAAGTATAATTCTTCCATAAGGATGGGTTGACCAGTGCATAAATTGTGGGAAAATTAAACAGCATTGGAATAAATGTAAATGAAGAAAAGTCCAGACGATTTTTTACTCAGGAACAGTACCTGAAAGATGTAAAATTTGAATCTGGACAATACTGGGTACGACTTCCGTGGAGACTGAACCATCCAGAATTGGCCCACTAATTACAGAATGGCATATGGACAATTAAAGGCTCCGCTCCGTGAACTGATAAGACACCATATTGTTGACTGCCTATAATGATATAAATTACTGAACAAATTATTAAAAAATTTATATAAGAAGTACCTCCTGAACAAGCCAAAATTTATGGTCACTATTTGCCACATCACGGAGTGAAGAAGGATTCTAAACCACTCCCTGAGGATTGTGATTAATTGTATGCCAGGAGTTACAAAAAAGTACCTAGTTTAAAATGACTGTTTGTGACAGGTCCGTCGTTGACAGAAAATTAGGAGATATCTTATTAATTTCAGGGTGAAGAATTATGCCTTTAGGCCTGACATAAGTAAAGCTTTCCTAAGAGTTTGTTTACAAGAGGCTGACCAGGATTGTACCCGCTTCTTATGGCCTGAGAATCCTATTGACCTACTTAGCCTCTGAAAACCTTTTGCTTTTGGAGCGTATTGTTTGGTGCTAAAATCCAGTCCATTCCTACTTCAAGCGACGATAAATGCACACCTTAAACATACGGGAAGTCCACTGAGTAAATTAATGAGCAAACAATTTTATGTGGACAATTTCCAGGGTGTGACATCAAAGAAGAGGAACTGTTAATGACTTATGGAGAGTCTAATAAAATAATGCAAGTGCAAATATGCCCCAGAGGGAATGAATAGTAATTCGTCCAAATTAAAGGACAAAATAAGTAAAGATTACCCTGGAAATGAATGCCAAAATGTAATAAAGTATGGGATTACCTTTGGGGTACTGAGAGAGATTTGTTAATGTTAAAACCTAGTAATTACAGTATGCCCAATAAATTAACAAAGAGAGTCTTTCTTGTGAAGTTTCAAATGTTTTTATCCCCTAGGTTTAGTGTCACCCCTTACTATAAGAGGGAAATTATTAATACAAGAAGCATGGAAGCTTAAATGTGCTGGGATGAAACTCTACCTTAGGAATTCATTAACAGGGGGGATGAATAATAATTTGGTGATTTTGAAAAAATTCCAATGTTGGAGTTCCCATGCCAGGTGCCAATCCAGTTGGGAAAATATACTCAACATTTTTTGTGATGCTTCAAAATTGGCATATGGAGCAGTTTTCTTACCTTCAAAATAATAGTATTATTTCTCTTGTTATGTCTAAGGCTAAAGGTGTCTCCAGTTAAATCAATACCTTACCTCAGTTGGAATTAACGGACATTTATGTAGGTGCCAAATTAGCTAATTATATAAGAAATAAGTGCAGGAGATAAATATTAGCGACACTGTAATTTGGTCTGATAATGAGGTATCCTTACAAAGGATTCGTAATGGAAACAGTAAAATTGTGTACGTACAAAACGGAGTCACTGAAATTAATCAGATGCAAGAGAAGTATAATAGTTTGGGTCTCAAGGTTTATCTTATGCTAAAATTGTAAATGCGTATCATGGTTTTTAAAAGGGTCGAGTGGTTGGTAAATAAAGCTAATGGCTGTACAAAAGGCGTATATTGCTCCTGTTGAAATTACTGTGACCACCGCTCCAATAGTTTGTCCCCCCTTAGCCATTGATATAAATAGGTATTCCTCTTTACCCAAACTAATCAATGTACTAAGTTGGTGTTTAAATTTCTAAACAAGATGAATATCTCATATAAGCTTTGAATCTCTTGAATATTGGATAAAGAGGGGACAAGAAGAAATCTATGAAAAAATTAGAATTTATGGAAATAAAAAGGTTTAAAGGTTCCCTAATAGAGAAATTGGGGGTGTATTTAAGAGAACAATGTAATTAGGGGGCAGAGTAGGTTACAAAATTCTGAATTGGGTGATTATGCTAAACACCTATCTTACTGCCCAAAAACTCATCATCTAACAAATTTAATTGTTTTAAAAGCCCATAAAAATGTAATGCTTTGGGGGGTAACAAGATACCTTAAATGTATTAGGGAACTTTCTGGATTCCACAAGGCCCAAAAAAGTGTAAAAAGGGTGATTAAATCTTGTGTAATATGTCGCCCTGTGGATGCCAGATCCTATATGTACCCAGGTCCTCACCACTGCCAAAGGAGCGTGTACAATTAGTGGGAAAACCCTTGATGTAACAGGTGTAGACTTAGTGGTCCAATAATTTTAACAGGTACTTCAGATATGTTCCCCTGAAAGTGGGATGTATGCTTGTTCAAATTGTACTGCTACTTTGGGGGTTCATTTAGAAGTGGCTCAGGACTTGGGCTGCAGAACAGTTTATAAAAGCTGTTTCGAAAATTTGCAGCTAGCGATCCTGTCCGAGATTGATGATTTCGGATAATGCCACTAATTTTGTGCGGGTGCTCAAAACTTGATAGAATTAAATAATAGCAACGATGTTCTATCTCTGTTCACCAACGAGGGTGTACCTGGAAATTTATTACTTCTAAGCCCTTTGGCAAGGGGGGGCTGTACGAAAGACTGATAGGCACAGTGAAGAGGGGTCTTCATAGAGTACTACACCGGAAGAGAATTAATTTGTAAGAATTCCATGCAGTGTTAGGGGGCAGAGAATCGTATAAATAATAGGCCTCTCTCGTACTGAGTGATACACCTGATGCAGATGTATTAACACCTTCTCACCTAATATGTGGAAAAGGGAAAATTTGGAAGCTGCCCATGTCTTTTGAGATAATCCGGAAAAAAGTGATTTAAGATTAAAATGATGCAGCAGTGTTGTGTGATAAATTTAAAATGCTAAATAAAGTAATTGATCATTGGTCTAATGTGTGGCGTAAGGAATATCTTCTTACACTACGTGAACACTTTTATGGTGCGACAGAGGCAGTAAATTGACAGCACATTCAACCAGGTGACATTGAGTTATGATACTGAACAACATCGAACATTGTGGCTCTGGGCAAAGTATTGACATTTTACCCAGATGCACAAGGTGTTGTCCAGAATGTCAAAGTGTTGTGTCGTGGCCAGGAAAGTTTACGCAAAATTAATAAATTGATTCTCTTAGAATTAAATGGTATTCAATCAAACGTAAATAAAAATCTAAGGGAAAGTGACACGAGTGATATTGAAGGCAACACTGACCAATTGATGCAGGAAGATGAAATTATAGTAAGACCTACTAGGAGAACAAACCACTCAAGTCAGAACCAGCTGGAATGGTCTCCTAAAGGAAGGAGTAATTTGAGCGGGTTTTGCAATGAATTCTGGCGAGCTGCAATGTGGAAAATAATGTATTTTCTGAAAAAAATCTAGCGTATTTTTTTTGAAAATTAGTGTAATACATTGTATTTAATAAAAATTAATTTTAAATGAAAAATGGCACCGGCGACGGGGAGGAGCATTGTTGGAGGAGAGACGCCATTGTTTTGAATGTGGTTAAAGGCACGCTGGGGTAATGTCATAAATTTTTTTTTTACCTAGAGGTTATATTGGGCTTAAAACCTCTCAAATAGACCGAAATTGTTGGATTTGCAGTCTGCAGACGTGGCATTAAGCTGATTGGCAGACAGCTTCAGAACCCCCCTCTAAGTTATGTCTATTTTGTGTCGAAATTCTGGCCATATTTCATTCATAATTTTGACAAGGGGGTTAGGTATGACACACCGTAATCTCCAAACTAATTGGTGAGTCTTATTATTATAAATTCTCCTTCTATGTATATGTATTCACCTTTTAAATTTAATATACAGTCCACATATTTATATTAATGATTTTACCAGAATTCCTGGTGATATATATATTTCATTTGAATTTAATATAGGTCCAGAGTGACTTGTGGATATGACAGTAGTAGGTGTCGAAGGGGGACATTTTTGCGACCTAGGTGTCCTAAAATTCCTACTTGTCTCTGTAACCTTGATAAAGAATAATTAACTTTGTTGCTATTTACTTGTGTGTATCTTATGAGATACATCCAGATAAATTTAATTTTCCACAGTACCAATTTTGTCCTTTAATTCGTATTAATAAAGCCACTGGATGGCGAAACGTCTACAATAAAGATACCCAGACGTTGTATGTCATTCATTTGCAGTAACCAGTTGAAGAATAGATCCAAAAGGTACCTAATGAATGAAGTGACAGAAAGGGAGGAGAATGATTTTTTATTTTATTTAGCTAATACTCATGTAAATGTAAATAACTCAATTTGCCTTATTCCTAGTACATATATCTCCTTTATATAATAATAATAAGGTATTACAAGGACCCCAGTGGCAATAAGTCACTTTGTCTGACTTTTTTGGGTTACCTTAGGATCTCTACACATATGCTGCTCTGAATGATAATCTATGTAACTGTATGTGTGTATACCTGAATAAACTTACTTACTAGCTCCATCTTCCTCTCTCTCTCTCTCTCTCTCTCTCTCTCTCTCTCTCTCTCTCTCTCTCTCTCTCTCTCTCTCTTACCTCTTCAATGAATGCTGAGCCGATCTCCTGGAAGAGTGGATCGTTGAAGTCCAGTAAATAAGTCCTAGTAAAAGGAAATTTGTATTAAAATTTGTTAAAAGAAAGTGAATGTTTTATATTTCAAAGGATGTTGATAACAACAATAATATCATAAAACTGTACAGTAGGCCTAGTGGTCTATTTAGGCAAGTCTTACTCTGCAGTAAGCTTCCCCCTAGTAGGCCTAGTGGTCCATTAAGGCAAGTCTTACTCTACAGTAGGCTTCCCCCTAGTCCAAGCTTCACACAATAACCACACACACACAAAAAACAATTTTTTTGTGTGTGTTTGGACTTAGTTTCAGTAAACATTTTAATTCGAACCGCAGTCCCGAGGTTAAGAGGATCAGCACTGTGTAGTGTCTACATCAGTGGCTTCTGTCTGTAACACAACTGTCTTTTCCCACAGCCACAATAGTTTTAATGGTAAATCTATCCTCGTCTCCCTCAAAGCCAGGTGGGGGGGGGGATGATAGATTTACCGTAAAAATTACTGTGGCTGTGGGGAAGGACAGTTGTGTTACAGAAGGGAGCCACTGACACAGACACGACACAGTAGAACTTTCTGTGAAACGTTCTTGTTAGAAGCCCGGCAGTTCAGTGTTAAAGTGCTTGATCTGTTAACCTCGGGACCACGGTTCGAGCCTCCTGTCCACCTTTCTGTTGTTCAGCGATAATTTTTCATTGCTATTTAGCTCGATTTCATATAAACACGGAGGCAAACAGGTATATCTTGCTAATTCTACTTACACTTAGGCCACACTACACAGGCACGCACATGTATGTATATACATACATACATCTAGGTTTTTCTTCTTTTTCTTAATAGCTCTTGTTCTTCTTTATTTCCTCTGTTCTCCATGGGGAAGTGGAGTAGAATCTTTTCTCCGTATGCCATGCATGTCGTATGAGGCGACTAAAATGCCCAGAGCAATAGGCTAGTAACCCCTTTTCTTGTATACATTACTAAAACAGAGAAGAAGAAACACTTTATAAAACTGAGATGCTTGAATGTGCGTGGATGTAGTGCTGATGCTTAGAAAGAAATGATTGCTAATGTTATGAATGAAAACAAGTTGGATGTACTGGCCCTAAGCGAAACAAAGCTGAAGGGGGTAGGCGAGTTTCAGTGGGGAGAAATAAATGAGATTAAGTCAAGAGTATCTGAGAAAGTTAGAGCTAAGGAAGAGGTAGCAACAATGTTGAAGGATCAGTTATGGAACGAGAAGAGGGAATATAAATGTATAAATTCAAGGATTATGTGGATTAAAGTAAGCTCAAATTAGAAAAGTGGGTCATAATAAGTGCGTATGCACCTGGAGAAGAGAGGAGTGTAGAGGAGAGAGAGAGATTTTGGGAGATGTTAAGTGAATGTATAGGAGCCTTTGAACCAAGTGAGAGAGTAATTGTGGTAGGGGACCTGAATGCTAAAGTAGGAGAAACATTTAGAGAGGGTGTGGTAGGTATGTTTGGGGTGCCAGGTGTAAATGATAATGGGGGCCCTTTGATTATAGGAAATACATAATTTAAGATAAAGAGGACAAATAAGTGTACAAGACATGATATAGGGCGTTATGACAATAGTTTGTTGAACTACATATTCGTAGATAAAAGACCGTCGAGTAGACTTCAGGATGTACATGTTTATAGAGGGGCCACAGATATATCAGATCACTTTTTATTTGTAGCTACAGTGAGAGTAAAAGGTAGATAGGATACAAGGAAAATAGAAGCAGCAAGTAAGAGAGAGGCGAAAGTTTTATTAACTGAAGGAGGATGGCAGTTAAGGTAAGATATAAACAACTGTTAAGGATACATGGGCTAGGAAGAGTATAGGCAATGGGGTCGAAGATTGTGGTTACAGGAAAGTGGGTGCGGGAGGGAAGAAGAGCGATTGGTGGAATGATGTAAAGAGAGTATAAGAGAGAAAAAGTTAGCATATGAGAGGTTTTTACATACAAGAAGTGGTGCAAGGAGGGAAGAGTACATGGAGAGAAAAAGAGAGGTTAAGAGAGTGATGAAGCAACTTAAAAAGAGCAAATGAGAGAGGTGGGTGAGATGTTATCAACAAATTTTGTTGAAAATAAGATAAAGTTTTGGAGTGAGATTAATAAGTTGAGGAAGCCTAGAGAACGAATGGATTTGATAGTTAAAAAGGGGGAGAGAAGTGTTATTAAATGGAGAGTCAGAGGCATTGGGAAGATGGAGGGAATATTTTGAGGAACTGTTAAATATTGATGAAGATACGAAAGCTGTGATTTTGTGAATAGGGCAAGGAGGAATAACATCTTGTGGGAGAGAGGAAGAACCAGTTGAGAGTGTGGGGGATGTGCGTGGGGACAATGAGTAGAATGAAAGGGGGTAAGACACCTAGGACTGACGGGATAAAGATAGAAATATTAAAAGCAGGTAGGGATATAGTACAGGAGTGGTTGGTGCTTTTATTTAATAAATGTATGGAAGAGGGTAAGGTACCTAGGGAATGGCAGAGAGCATACATAGTTCCTTTGTATAAAGACAAAGGGGACAAAAGAGAGTGTAAAAATTATAGAGGAATAAGTCTGTTGAGTATAACTGGTAAAGTGTACAGCAGAGTTATTATTGAATGAATTAAGAGTAAGACGGAGAGTAACATAGCAGATGAACAAGGAGGCGTGTAGACCAGGTGTTTACAGTGAAACATATATGTGAACAGTATTTAGATAAGGGTAAAGAGGTTTTTGTAGCATTTATGGAATAGGAAACGGCATATGACAGGGTGGATAGTGGGGCAATGTGGCAGATGTTGCAGGTGTATGGAATAGGAGGTAAGTTACTGAAGGCAGTGAAGAGTTTTTATGTGGATAGTGAGGCTCAAAATAGAGTATGTAAGAGAGAGGGAGATTATTTCCCAGTAAAAGTAGGCCTTGGAAAAGAATGTGTGTTGTTACCATGCTTTTTCAATATATTTATAGATGGGGTTGTGAAGTGAATGCTCGGATGTTGGCAAAAGGCGTGGGGTTAAAAGATAAAGAATCTAACGCAAAGTGGGAGTTGTCACAGTTGCTCTTTGCTGATGACACTGCACTTTTGGGAGATTCTGAAGAGAAGCTGCATAGGTTGGTGGATGAGTTTGGTAGGGTATGTAAAAGAAGAAAATTAAAAGTGGATATAGGAAAGAGTAAGGTGATGAGGATAATAAAAAAAATATTTGACGCAAGACTGGATGTCAGATTGGAGGGAGAGAGTATGGAGGAGGTTGAAAGTATTCAGATATTTGGGAGTGGAGGTGTCAGCAGATGGATCTATGAAATATGAGGTGAATAATAGAATTGATGAAAATGGGCTCCTTCCTACTTTCTGTACTCGATGAAGAAGCCTACTGTGTTGGCGAAACGTTTCGGATTAAAGATACCTAACTATTGCCAATATGATTTACTACCAACTTAACGGTATTGTATACCATTTTGATATTAGGCTCATGTTGTTTGTAGGACCGTACCCCCGCCCATCCCTGTGTGAACTGAATTAAGTATGCATCACTCTCTCATTTGGACCACCATCCATAAACACCAGGCGCCCAGTACTGAGCGAGATTTCATTGATATATAGACTGCTTGTGAGGCTGCTGGTACACCAAACAGGATAAGGTTGAAATTAGTCTTTGAGGATTATGCACTCAGTACTGCTGGGCGCCTGGTGTTCATGTATGGTGGTCCAGTGGATAGAGTAATGAGTCCTTTGTTCATTTGACACAAGGCTGGGCATGGGAACGCAGGATCGAGCCCTGGCCAAGCCGCAGTGCTGTTAATGATTCAAAATCACTTGTTTTGTTGTTTCATATATATATATATATATATATATATATATATATATATATATATATATATATATATATATATATATATATATATATATATATATATTATATATGCAAGGAATTCGCAAGAGCAGGCGAAATATACACAAACACTGATCTCTGGCTGAAGGAGACTCGAACCTTTGAACCTTGAAACAAGGTACGCAGTGCTATACCACACTGGATGAATATCTTGGCGTCCAGCTTGCGCTAGACGTTTTGATCCAAGGCAGTCAGCTTTCAGGGAGAAGGCTTACAGCTTTTCATCTCATCCCCATATATATATATATATATATATATATATATATATGTGTGTGTGTGTGTGTGTGTGTGTGTGTGTGTGTGTGTGTGTGTGTGTGTGTGTGTGTGTGTGTGTGTGTGTGTGTACTCACCTAGTTGTACTCACCTAGTTGAGGTTGCGGGGGTCGAGTCCGAGCTCCTGGCCCCGCCTCTTCACTGATCGCTACTAGGTCACTCTCCCTGAGCCGTGAGCCTCTGTCTCTCTCTCTCTCTCTCACTCACCTGGTGTAGGGGTCAGTAAAGTGGCTCCAGGGACCTAGACGAGTGATGTTTGCCTCTGTCTCTCTCTCTCTCTCTCACTCACCTGGTGTAGGGGTCAGTAAAGTGGCTCCAGGGACCTAGACGAGTTATGTTTGCCTCTGTCTCTCTCTCTCTCTCTCACTCACCTGGTGTAGGGGTCAGTAAAGTGGCTCCAGGGACCTAGACGAGTGATGTTTGCCTCTGGATAAATCCTGTAATTAAATTAGTGTTAAACACTTGTCGATGCTTTGATCAAGGATTGAAAATATAAACAATACCATTAAAAATGCTTAAATATATCAAATTACTAAAAGCCCTGACTTTCTTTCCTAAATATAATTATATAACAATTACAGTAAAACAATAACGGAACAATCACAGTAAAACAATTACAGTACAATTACTTAATATAGTTACAGTAAATGTTTGACAAACTAGTATATTTAAATGGCAATTTTCTGCAACTCATACTCAATATTTTTGTTTTCATTAAAATATCCATGAATCATCCGAAAATATAATATTTGTGTTTGGTAATGTAAGCCCATAATTAACCAAGCATTTCGGGTATATTATTAATAACTTCAAAACCATTTAGTTCTAGTCATAAAATGTGATATAAATTTTCTGAACGTGGAAGGTAATTTAGATTACAGTGGACGATTATATTAAACGGCGTTTAAGTGGTGAATAAGATGACACTTGAAGACAGCAATGTTAGAGAAGTAGATAAAATCCCATACCACGGACAGGGATCGAACCCGCGATCAGAGTCTCAAACCTCCAGACCGTCGCGTTAGCCACTGGACCAGCTAGCCACAATAAGATTCGTCCAACTAGGTATATTTCTACACCATAGGAAGGTTAGCACAGGCAGCACTGTAACTAGCTGGTCCAGTGGCTAACGCGACGGTCTGGAGGTTAGAGACTCTCTGATCGCGGGTTCTATCCCCGTCCGTGGTATGGTTTGTTTGCAATCGTGTCATTACGATTTCGTGAGTCATGTTAGAGAAGTAGAGTTACTCACTAATATTGTTTATGGTCATCACATACATTTTTACATCAAGATCAAGACATGTTTTTTGACATTATTCATGAAACTATCAAGAGATTATTTTTTTCAATTCTTAAGAAAGATTTTTCCAAATATTTGGTCTCTTGATTTGCATAATGTGGAATATTAAAATGGTTTATTAAAATGGTTTATATTTCTAATGCTATGTCAATGTGTTTTTTTACAGCCGTCCAGATATATTTCTTAATAAATTACTTAGACTGTACAACAAACATTGTCCTATGAAAACGAAATAGATTACGAATAAACGGCTTGGTTGCCCATGGCTAACTAACAGCATACTAAGATCCATTGATAAGAAACATCAATATGACAAGCAATATAGACAGGGCTTAATACACAAAGATATTATTAAACACTATGCATCAATTCTCACGAAACTTAAAAACGCCAAACTGTACTACTCCAGCAGATTCACTGGAACAAGAGGAGATATAAAAAAGACCTGGAAAACATTCTTTCAGATTCTTGGCACCACAGACTGAAAAAACTAAGGATATTGTCCTAACTAAACCAAACGAAACACAATTACAGCTTATTCATAAAGTTAAGAAGATAAATAACTTCTTCTCAACCATGGAATCTAATCTCGCCAGTAAAATCTCAGGTACCAACGTCCAAGCAACTGATTACTTATAGGGGAATCTCCCAACTTCCTTCTACCTTGCACCTACTGAGCCCACTGAAATCACCACGATTATCTAATCACTTAAAAATAAATCAGGGAATCTGTCACAAGTCCCACTAATATTGTACAAGCGAGCGGCCCATGTCCTTTCACATGCTATTTCATTACTTTTAACAAATCCTTAGAGACTAGCACTTTCCCGGCACTACTCAAGACAGCAAGGGTTACACCAATACACAAAGATGGTGACCTCACAGATGCAAACAACTACAGGCCAATGTCAAACTTACCATTGCTATCCAAAAATCTTTGAGAAACTCGTGCACAAGAGATTGTATTCGTTTATAACAGCGCAAAGCATACTCAAACCCTTCCAATTTGGCTTCAGAAAAAATAAAAGCAGAAACGATGCAATTGATAAAATGCTCCATCTGCTTTGCACAGCTCTGGAAAATAAGGAATATCCATTAGGACTTTTTATTGACCTAAGGAAAGCTTTTGACACAGTAGACCACGGCATCCTACTCCACAAACTTGACCATTATAGTATAAGAGGCCATGCGCTTGCATATTTCAAATCCTACCTTATTAATAGGCATCTCTACGTTACCATTAAAGACACAGCCTCATCAACACGACCACTTGATACTGGAGTGCCACAGGGAAGTGTCCTTGGTCCCCTGCTCTTCCTCTTATACTTCAGTGATCTTCCCAACGTATCCCAACACCTGAAACCCATTCTCTTTGCTGACGACACGACTTATGTCATCTCCCACCCAAATCTTGCCACACTCTACACCATTGTTAACGAGGAGCTGCTCAAAATATCTACTTGGATGACAGCCAGTAAACTTACGCTTAACACTGACAAAACCTTCTATATTATGTTTGGTAACAGAACAGGTGTTGCACAGCTGAACATTTAGATCGACAACACTCTTATTGCTAAACACAATAAGGGCAAATTCCTGGGCCTACACCTCGAAAGCAACCTGAAATTCAGCACCCATATCCAACACATAACAAAAAAAAAAATGTCCAAAATGGTTTGGAATCCTCTCTAAGATACGTTACTACGTGCCACAATCAACCCTTCTCACACTTTACTATTCACTCATCTATCCCTACCTCTCCTATGCTATTTGTGCCTGGGGATCAACAGCAGCAACACACCTAAAGCCAATAATAACCCAACAGAAAACCATAAGTTTGCCTGAGATACTCCAATATAGGAGCTTTAATAGAAACTGTATCATGCCAAGAGCAAACCATTCTAATTGCTAAATTTACAAACTGTAATGTAGTTACCTAGCTTTAATATCAATATGCTCCATAATCTGTATCAGTATAGAGTTAGAATTATTATTAGTCTGCCTGAAATGTTTAGTCATGCTAGGAATGATAGTGGCTCTCTTTATAATTAGTATTTTATAATATGTAAGCCCCACATTGTAATCTATACAGAAAAATAAACATTTGTATTTGTATTTGTGTTTGTATACTTTATAAGTACTGGTGAGGATATTGTTGCTGGGGATCAGAGTAAATATTCAAATCACAGATTTTTTTTGGAATTGTGATTGGTTTTATGTGATTTTCTGTTATAGTTCCCTGTTGCATGCAAAGAGTACATAACCTTATTTGGAGCATGTTATCACACTCACTTAGGCTGCCTCACCAACCAGCGAACCAGGTCGCTAAGGGTTTGAGGATTTACGGGGCTCCATCGTCAAATCAGCACCTAGGTTCAGCCAATCATATTGTGGATCTGGCAATTCTGATGGTGACTTGGATACCACTCACATTCTCACCCTTGTCATTTTCATCCAGCTGCTGGTTTAACACGATTGTCCATTCTGTCTTCAAGCTGTGTCTTGCCTCTTGATTTATCGTGTTGTACACATATATTTCAATCTCTTGTATATAGTGTACATACTTGTAAATGTCTATAATCGCACTTGGTGAAGAAAAATACAATTCAAAGTTTCTCTGCTGTGTTTATTCTGCTCCTAGCTCCCCTTTACAACCAGGATAACAGGCCTTTGATTACCTGGGTCGTAATATGGGTAGATTGTCCGGGAGCTGGAGCTGGACTTAAAGCAGAAGTTGAGCCTAGACTTGAAGTTGGATCAAGAAGTAATTGTAAATAGCTGGCTATCTGGCATTGCATCAGCTTTGCCAATGCTTCAGGAATTTTGCATGTTCGGCCTGCTATTACGTAATCATAGATGGCTTGCTGTTTTGCATGTCAACTTTGCGAACTTCGTAATCTCATTTGCAGCAAGTTAAAGACAGAAGTAGACATGGCACACCAGACTGACGCGTCCCCAGCTACAGGAGCTATTAAGACATCTCCACTCAGGTTTCTGCAAAATGGTCGAGACACCTGAAATGGTGAAGCCACAGGTGTGTCGAGTTTGTCTCAGGGTGAGTCTGCTTTGTTGGTGCTTGAGTTAACTAGACTCAATCTTGAAGAAACTAAAGAACAGCGAGCATTTGCTAGGGAAGAGTATGATAGAGAGAAGAAGAGGAGGCAATTCAAACAGAATGTAGATGATTTCAGTTTGCATTGGGCAAAGGGCGTTTTGTTGAAGCCGAACCTGAAATTTTTTTCGAGGCTTCGGAAAATCAGGCTCGAGTTTTAAGGTGGCCTGAAGCACATTGGGCAGCACTGGTGCATACAACATTATTTGGTGAGGCACAGGAATTTACCTCTGTGTTAGATGATAACCAGTTTGGCAACTGTTGCGTGGTGAAAACCACGGTTCTGGGTGCTTCTCAATGCATTCCAACTAAATGCAGAAAATCATTTAAACTAGGCAAACGACAGCTGTGTCAGTCTTATGTCGACTTTGTAAGACAGCAGACCAAAGCTTTTACCAAGTGGTACAAGGCAAGTAGTGTCGCTAACTTTGAGGAGGTGGTACATTTAATATTGGTGGATAACCTGCTGGAGTCTGTTGGACCAGAGGTTCGAGTCTTCCTGCAAGATAAATTGTTGACCACTGCACTGGAGGCAGCCAAGTTGACTGATACCTTTGAAACTAACCGCTCCTTGTCCGAGTGGTCTCATCACTCTTTTCAACAGCCTGGCATGAGCAGAGAGCATCAAAGAAGAACTGATTGGAGGATGAAGTGCCAGGACGAAGGAGAACGACATCAGCCAACTAAGTTACCTGGTGAGCCACATCACTCAACTTATGGTCAACCAGGTGAGCCATGACAGTACCCAGAGTGGCACCAGCTACAACGTCAGCAAGGAACTAAGGTCAAAAATGAGGTAGTATGCTTCCTTTATAATAAATCAGGCCACATCAGGCCTAACTGCCCAAATAATAGAATTAATATACACCACTCTCGAGAAGAAAGAAGTCCCGCTGGGAATGTTCATTGATTTACGTAAAGCTTTTGATGCAGTCGACCATGATTTGCTGTTAAGTAAATTAACACACTATGGTATAAGAGGCCACTCCCTCAACTACCTAAAGTCATACCTTAGTAACAGAAGC